GTCATTCAATTTCCCTTTTTTTTCCTCACACCCCCGTCAGCACGTCTTTGTCAATATATCCCATGGCCGTGACTTGTTACTTGGAGGAGGAGCTAGGAGGCACTTCAATGGCAACTTAAGCTTGTTTATTTTACAAGACAATTTTAGAAGAGCATGGAGAGGGTAGAACTTTGAGCTAGGATTTAAAGAACATGAGGTAGAAATGTTTTCAATTATCTTTTTGGTTCAAGAACTTAAGATTATTTATTTTTAATTGATTTTGAGTTGTATTGGTTGAAGAAAATCTAGTTCTACATTGTGGTAAATGTTGGTTAAGAGCCCGCTGTGCTGCAGCCCCCTACTTGACATTTTTATTTTTGGATTAGATTGATTTTTAGATTAAATTTGTGCTTGATATTTGCTAAAATTTATGTTTGAAAATCCTTGGATTATTAATTTGATTATCAATGTGGTTGATATTGCAAATTTGGGTTTTTTTTTTTGTCTTTTGGTTGTTCAATTGAGTTGGTAAATTGTATAATTGTTCAATTAGATAATCCTAAATATAATTTCCAAATTCAACTTGAATTCATTATTGTTGGTTTTAATTAATTTAATTCATTGGCTTTATATCATTAAGAGTTCTCTAACGGTTTAATTGTTATTGTGTTTGAGGATTTTCATTCCTTTATTATTTCCTTTTTGGCCTAAATAATTGAATTAAATTTGCTAGGAAATTTAAATCCATTTGAATCTAAGTTGTCCCCCTTTTCCCTTTAGCATGCCTGAACAAAACCTGTCTTTTTTTTTTTATAATTATTTTGCTTTGCTATTTAGTTAATCCATGTTGTTACCTTCAATGTGGAGCTGGAAAAACAGGTCAGACCGTGGGCCTAAACGGAATTGATGAAGGAATGAACATATAGGGTGTCTCGATTTCCCATGAATCCCAATTTCCACAACAGAGAGGTTGCTGTTTAATCTAAAGGCTACTGTTTTTTAGCCATGTAGAATGATTTAGTGATGACATGGAATGAGTTATGGACGATAAAGAACAAAATTATTAAAGATTAAAAAATTAGGACTAAATTTTAAATGAGTTAAAAGTTCAGTGATTGAATTATACTGAGACATGCTTCCTTGATCCATAATATAAGATATTAATTAGAAGAAAATTGTGGTTTAAATTTTACTAACAACCATTATTCTTTTGCAGTAGGGCCGATGTTAATTTTATTAAAATACAAAAATACCCCATACTCGAACAAATAAAAAAAGTATAAAGGAGCAAAAACTTTTGGCGAAAGTGCGCCAAACACCATCTGTTTTTTAATAGGCATAAAAGTACCCATGACCATGACAATAAATTAATTCTTCAAGTTTTGGCAAAAAAAAATTTCTATTAAATTTTATTATATTATTATAATACAAATAATTTTATAGTTAATACATATGTTTGGTCTTCTAAATCTGCATCAAGTTTTAATTTAGTCTTTTAAGTTTATAAATTATATTTTTAGTACCCTAATATTGATACCGTTGGTCTCATTAACAGAAAATGTTGATTCAACGGATCTAAATGGTAATTCCATAATTAAATATTAAAATATTAATTCTTAATTCATATATTTAAAAAATAATAATGAAGATGATTTTAGCATAAACAACTGAAGTTGATTTTAGCACAAACATCCTATCTTTCAATAAAAATATTATATTAAATGATTAAACCTTAAGCATGTTTTGTCAACATTTAAATTTACTGAGTTGGTATTTTTTTGTTAAGGAGACCAACAATATTAAAATTAAGAGACTAAAAATACACTTTATAAACTTAGGAGACAAATAAAAATTGGTGCAAATTTAGAAGACTAGACATATATATTAACCGTAAAATTATTAGTATTATAATAGTATCATAAAATTTTATAGTTTTTTTTGCTAAAACTGAAATAATTAATTTATTTGTATGGTCATGGGCATTTTTGTGCCTACGAAAAAAAAAATAGTGTTTAAGCACTTTAGCCAAAAATTTATGGATACTTTTATACCTTTACATTTCTTTGATTTTTTTGAGTAAGGGGTATTTTTGTACTTTCATAAAATTAACATGAGCCCCATTACAAAAAATAATAGTTGTTAGTGAAATTTAACGGTTGTTAGGAACTTATCACGGAGACTATATCATTGGGGAACTAGTTTCGATACTCATCCAAGTTCGTCATATTTAGACCATTCAAATCTGTTTTGAATGGTTTGGATTTATTTTTTTTATTTTTATTTTAGTAAAAAATCATTTTTCAAAAAAATGATAGTAGTTAAGAGATTATTTTTGTTTTAGATTTTATACTCATTAAAATAGTTATTTAAAAAATAAAAATAAAAGGAAATTAAATCTGAACCATTCAAATTAGATCTAGATGGTCCATATATGATGAGCTTGGAGTGATGAGCACCGAAACTAGTTCTCCAATGGTATACTCTCCGTGATAATTTCCTATAAGATTAAAAAAAAAAAAAGGACAATACTTATATCAAATTACTTATATTCATTGTGTCAAGTTCACCAATCATATATGACCATGTGTTTTATTTTTAAAATATTAGCATAATAATATTTAATTATAAATCAATATGAAATTAAAAAAGGACACTTGATTATATATAATTGGAAAATTTGACATAATAGATATAAGAAATTTGACCCAAGTTTTTTCCTGAAAAAAATTAGTCAACGTTAGTTAAATATAAATTGCAGTTATAAATTTATAATTTTATTAAGTATTAACCATGAGAATTTAATTTATTCCTAACCATTAGAATGATGATCGCCTAGAATAAAGTGAAAGCATGAAATAAATAAATAAATGAAAATACTGTTAAACTTTATTGTTTTGATAAGCTTATTACTCAGAAAGCCTAAAAGAAAAGAGTTTTATTAATTAAAAATTATGGAAGAATAAATTATTTAATGTTGGTTATTAATTTACTTTAATTTAATTAATTATAATTATTTCCTTGCTTTCAAATTCAAATTAGTTTGAATTAATATATTTTGTGGTATAAGATTATCTATTTGATCAGCAGTTTACATTGAATATATAATTTCACATCAAAGTGACACATATAGGGAGGGAAAAAAAAAAAAGAATTAAATGCCTAGCTATCATGACTCTTTTTATGCTCAATTATTTCGAATTAATTATTCTTCTAAAGTTGAAACTAGCTTCATCTCTCTCTAAGGTACTAAAAACCAGATTGGTCAGTAAATCGGTTAAGCCAATAGTTTAAGAGTTACTAGATCAAACAGAAATCAATTCGGAGTCAGATTAGCAAATTAAAATAATATAAATTAATTAAAATTATTTGTATTTAATAATGAATGTTTTTAAGTAAAATTGAAGTGTGATTCCTAAGGGGCTTTTGAAGGTAAATGAGGCAATATCGTATTTAAAATGAGTTTCCGAAGAGTTTTAATGGTACAGTTTCGTTTTTTGACTAACACTGTGTAGTGCGTCGGCTTTAAGTTTTTATCTTATTTTTCTTTGATATGATGAGGGCCCAAATCCAATCCAAAGAAATCAAAAACTCTCATCCCATGCTTTTCTTAGATTCTAGCCCCACCAACCCACCAATCACCATTTGATTTTCACTGGCAATCTTATCCCTTTCTAACCCTTGGACAAACCTCATCAGCGGGCTTTCATATCTCCTGCAACACAACTTATTCTCATTGGCATTTTTCACTCTTTGGTCTTCCACTCTTCCTTTTCTTCTCATCCTTTTCTTCTTAATTATCTTATTTTCACATCCCTTATCTTTTTTTTTTCCTCCGCGTTTTTTACCTCATCTGATAATTTAGTGCTTGTTTGGCATTATTTATATAAGCACTTATAACCATATTTTATATAAATCAAGACAAAACTCACATATTTGTCTTGTATTTCATAAATCATGATTGAAATCATTCCAAAATTGTCTTCTTATCTTGGGATCTTGCAACACGATCCTTCCTCTTATGATTCCTCGACCATGTCGGAGTCTCTCATCAACTGTAGATGGTGAAATCAATTTATTTATTATTGCCCCTATTAGACTTAGCCAATTATATTCAACAGATGTTTTAGAAAATCATGTCCACGTCCTATTTTAGTTAACCTAATAATCAAGATCTAAAGTCACAAGTCGTGGCCAGTTCAAAGTCAATTAGTCTAAAATATGATTTAGCCTAACAAGCTACTTTGCCACAAAATAACATACAAAACACCTAATATTGGTAACATATTATCAATATATAACACATAATTTTACTCTGGAAGCCAGAATTAATCTAGTCCTCAACATAATGAAAAACAAAGAAAACAAGTACATGGGAAACAATAAGAAATAATTGCAAGAATTAACTTTGTCGAATCAAATTGTAGAAGTTTGATTTTAAATGAATCAAAATTATAACAACTGAGTCAAAGTTTCAGGTCAAAACTATAGGAGAAAATCATTAATTTGTTTTTGAATTACTTTTATCACTGTTTTCTATTACTATGCCTACCACGAGCCAGGAGTATCATCTATTCCCCAAGCTGCCCCTCAATTTTGCTGCTCTCTCCAAATATTTTTTTTCAGCTTTTTTTCATCATTAGATTCTATATAAAACAAGTGACATTTTTATATCTTATTTGTAAAAAAAAATGATTTATTTTTCAACTTTTTACTATTTTTCAAATATTTAATATTACCATTCTCATCTTTAAATTGCCAAAACTCTTTCCAGCAAGTAGACAGCAGCTTTCTTTCCTCTTTAACTTTTCAAAAGAAGTGGAATACAGATAACAAGTGGGACTGTAGAAGATTTCCTTTGTTTTTTTTTTTTTTTTGGATTTTTTTATTTTTCAATGGGTGTAGTATAATTATAAGCCTTCTTCAAGGAGTGTCGCGTGTATGGCTGAGCAAATCGAGCAGATCAACTTTCTTGTCTGCTTCAGATCAGCTTGTCATTCTTGCCCGGATCTGTTGTTTCTTAAATGGCAGAAGCAATTCATACTGAGATTAACTGGGAGATGCCTAATGACATGAATCAACAAGACTTGGCCTCTGAGACTGCTCAACAAATGGTGGCGCCTATAGATTTATCCTCCAATAACTTGCAGCAGCAACAACAGGTATGCATCATCCTTTACTGCTCTTTCTTCAATTCTGAAGCCTTTTCTTATTTTCTTCACTTCTATTTTTGCTTATTATTTTTAAGGTAACTTCTGTTTAATTAATTCTTCAATTATTACTCCACTTCCAAAGATATACACTTGTCAGATTGCAAGTATGCATCCTGTGCTTTTCATTCGTGATAATGCCTTTTCTTAATTTTCTTACACTCCCTTTAATTTTCTCGCACCTTGTTAGATTCATTGGAGACTCTTTTTTTCCTTTTATCATTTTCTTAATTATTCTTAACAAACGGTGATGAGATTACAGTTCAGTTATTAAAACATTTATATTTCCCAAGCTTTAGGGTCACCTTCATTGCTTTGTTAATGTGCAATTTCTGCTTTCCTTCTGAATCTAAATTGATATATTATATATAGATGGAAGATGGGGAGATCAACATAGACATAAAAGCATTGACAGAAATTAGCGAAGATGGTCTCTTGTCCCCTTTGTGTTGTATCTACAAGGTGTCCCCAAAGATCCGTCTTCTGAAAGAAGAAGATTACACTCCTGTGATTGTTTCCATTGGTCCTTTCCATCATGGTGATGTAAGACTGCAGGATATGGAAAGGCACAAAGAAATAATGTTTAAAAGGTTTGCACAAAACGCTATGATAGATTTAGACAGTTCGGTTGACTTAGCAAAACAGTCTGAGCCAATGGTCCGTGCTTCTTATCTTGAGAGCATCAACTATAACAAGAAGGACTTTGTGAAATTGATATTAGTGGATTCTGCTTTCATCATTCAACTCTTTATTATGAAATACAGAGGTCACATGAAACACGATTCTAAACTATCACAATCATGGTTGGAGGATGATGTAGTTAATGATTTGCTTTTACTTGAGAATCAACTTCCATTCTTTTTCCTTGAAGAGCTATACAATATAGCATTTCGCTGTAACTGTAGAGGCGATCACCCTACATTTCTTGAGTAAGGCCTGTTTGGGTGCCCCTAAAACCATGGTTTGGGAGGCAAAACCATGGTTTGGGTGGGATGTCACCCAAACAGTATCAATTTTGAAGAAATAATCTGAAACCATAGTTTGGGCCAAAATCATCGTTTTCGAGCCCAAAATCATCGTTTTGGGAAAAGTAAATCCATTCTGCTTCTAGCTCAAACTGGAGAGTATGATTGTGTCTGTCAGAGTAGATCTCAATAATAATATGATTGTAACATCCCTCAATTATTTTTTTATAAACATATTTAATTTTTTATCTTATAAATATATATACACATATTAATTATTTATTAATTGTATTATATTATGTATTATTAATTATGTTGGTAAAAAATATATTATTAGCAATTTTATTTCTTCAAATTAAAATATATTATAAAATCTATCTTTTATGTAATTATCATATTAACTTATGCTTTTTTTTAGTAATTTATATATATATATAAAGTGCTTCTAATAACAACTATCCAAACACTCTCACTTCTCATAATCACTTTTTCACAAAATCTATTCTCCAGAAGCTATTCTCTAAACTATGATTTGGTTTCATCCAAACACACCCTACATATTCCTTCTTTGACCATCTTAACATGAAAAGGTTAGAGCCTAATCAAAACATAAAGCATTTCACAGATCTTTTTAGATTATTTTACTTATCAAGAACCCATCCGATAAGGGATCAATTCAAAGGGGATGGATCTGATACGCTCATGTATAGTGCAAACGAGTAACAAGAGGCAGGAGTGAAGTTGAAGGTAACCACAAGCAAGTACTTAATAGACTTGAAGTTTTCAAGATCTGTTCTAGAGATTCCTCAAATAATTCATGTCGAAGTTGGGGCTGAAACTTTGTTCCACAATTTGATAGCTTTAGAACAGTGTCATTATCCTTGGGAATCATATTTTACTGACTATATTTATGTATTGGATAGCCTAGTCAACACAAATAAAGATGTGGAGGTTCTTGCTCATAAAAAGATTATCCACAACTGGCTAAGTGACACCAATGAGGTTGCTACATTAATCAACGGTCTTTGGAAAAATGTAACTCAACACAATGTCAGTGTTGAATACCTTGACATTTGCAGAAGGCTAAGTAAGTTTTATCAAGATCCTTGGCATAAGAAAAAGGCAACTTTGAGGAGAGATTACCGCAATACACCCTGGCAAACTGTGGCTTCTGTTGCCGCAATCATACTCCTCATTCTCACTATTACTCAAACTACATGTTCCATCCTCCAAGTAGTATAAAAGTAGCAACCTACATTTGAACGTTGGTAGTATATTTTAGTGTTCTGTCCTTAAAAATTCATGTTCCCTTTACTGCTGCACCATGTGTAGAATAATAACAACAACAACAACCGTAATCCTTATTCTTCCTTTTCTTTTTTCTTTTTTGGTTACGCACGCACTTTTTCTTTGACAGCTGCATAAGTTTGAAGCTTTAATTATATTATTTCTTCCTTTTAACTTTTTTTTTTAACAAATAAAACTCTTACGCGTTGAATGATTTATAAAAGTAGCAATCTAGATTCAATACGCTTTGGCTCATCACTGAAAACGGGACGGGAGAACAAACAGGCGAGGAGCGAGAGGAGGATCCATTTTCTGAAGAGCAGACATTTTTCCCCTTTCCTTCGTCATTTGGTCATATTTTTCGAATTCTTATTACGTTCATCATGCCTGTCATTTTATTTTATTTTTTTCTTAGTTCGATTTTGAGAAACGAAGCCTCTTATGAAGTTAACACATAATTGTTTTCATCAAATTAAAGCAATTTTTTTGTTGTTTCTTTTCTGATTTGATAAAGATGAGTTTTTAAAATATCACGAAGAAGTTTTGGAGGACATTCAGATAACTTTGGTCATTTTATTGCACAAAAAATTATAGGAAACATAACAAGGCAACGCCACGTGAATAGAGCGATGATTTGATTAGAGGGGCCTTATAAAGTCAAGGTCCAACATGCCTTGCATGCCCTTCGGGACTGCCCTATTATTAAGCAACTTTGGCTATCTCTTGTTAAACAGAATCAGACTGAACGCTTTCTCGGATGACGTGGAGTTTGGGAATGGGGCCGGTTAAATATGCACAAGCTATTGGCGGAGACGCCGCCCGATGGAAAGATTCGCGATACTTTGCTGGCTCCTATGGGAACGTAGAAACGACAAACTCTTTGAGAATGTGGAGAATGAAGTTCCTAGCATACCTCGGCAACCTCGATCGGGCAATTCTTGCGAGCTATGGTACAGCGAAGAGAACGCTCTCACAGGTGAATTTGAAAGGTACTCAATCGGAGCAGCATGAGACTATTGAGACTAGAAATGGATGGATGAGCTTATATGTAGGTGGCGCCCATTCTCATCTTACCGGACAAGCGAGTTGTGGGGGATTAATCGCGGACCACAATGGAGCCAGACTTGAAGCTTCTATGTTTGCAGAGCTTTGGGCTTGTTTAATGGAAATGAAACGTGCATGGGATGCTGGATATAGACAGATCCCGCTTCATTGTGATTGGGCTGAGGCTCTAGATCTGATGTGTGGAGGAAGAAGCGAAGAGCACGATCATTGGAGCTTAAAAAATGGCTGAAGCTGATTGCCTAGCGAAGTGTTCCCTTGACCAAAAAAAAGAGAAAAGAAAAGTAGGGTGATGATTAGTGGGGTCTTAAAAAGTTAAGGTCTTGCATGCCATTTTACGTCCACGTTTCTTTACATAATACCGCTCCGTTCTTCAATATAAATCATTTGTAACACATTTTTACATACCAAAGAGTGTATTAAATTAACAAATTTTTTCAAATTTTAATTTTATATTTACTAATCATTCCCATATCTCACACTTCTCTGTTTTCAATAAGAATTAAATAAGGATAAAATTAAAATAAGCACTAAATATATAGGGAAAACCATATTGAAGGTACCTATACTTTCTCTTCATTTTTAATTTGGTACCTATGTGTTTTTTTCCCTTTAATTAAACATTTAATTTTATCTTTTTAGCAACATTAGCTCTTATAACTTTGTTCTATTAATATTTTTAGTCTCTACATAAGGATTGATGATGTTAATAGAGGAAAAATAAAGATTTAGTTAAGAACAAAAAACACATAGGTACCAAATTGAAAATTGAAAAAAAGTATAGGTACCTCCAATATGGTTTTCCCAATATACTATAAGTGATGACTTATATATAAGACCAGAGTTGTAGTGATCAATATACAAGGCCTAAGATTCTTAATTGCCAAAAAGAAAAAGATTGATAAGTAAACATGCCCTTACACAAGTGACAACCTGAGTTGGTAGTTAATATTTATTTTGAGAGCCCATAAAATCGGTAATTAGAAAGAGGAACATACGACATTCCAATGTATTCGAGGTACCAAATTGTCCATCATAATATTCCAAATTCATAATTATTTTGAAAAATTAACCATATAAGTGAATTATGCACTACTACCTTTGGTTCTTAACATAAAACCTAGATAACTAATTTATAAAAATTAAAAAAATTAGTTAAGTTAGCTAGTTGTAATAGGTGAGTGTTGTCTTTTTTAAAATGTTCTTATTAATCATGCATTTTGGAGTTACCAATAAAAACTGCTTAACATATGCAATCACTATAAGGATTACTTGAGAAGAAATTGATAAAGATTGGAGATAAAATGCATTGAGATCTTATATTTAAAACCAAATTAAATATCTAACTAGCTCTTACATACGGATGGTAGTATATATGCTTCTGCTTAACAACCAAGGCACGTTTAGGAACATATGATTAAGATAAATTACAAAAATTTTATTTAATCGAAATCTATTCAACATTACCATTCTCATTTTTAAATTGCCAAAAATCTTTCCAGCAAGTAGACAGCAGATTTCTTTCCTCTTCAACTTTTCAAAAGAAGTGGAATACAGATAACAAGTGGAACTATAGAAGATTTCCTTTATCTTTTTTTGTTTTTGGATCTTTTTTATTTTTTTAATGGCTGTAGTATAATTATAAGCCTTCTTCAAGGAGTGTCATGTGTATTGCTAGGCAGAGCATATCAACTTTCTTTTCTACTTCAGATCAGCTCGCCGTTGTTGCGTGGATCTGTTGTTTCTCAACTAAGTTTAAATGGCAGAAGCAATTCATACTGAGATTACTACTCTTTCTTCAATTCTGAAGCCTTTTCTTGTTTTCTATACTTCTCTTTTTGCTTATTATTTTTAAGGTAAACTCTCTTTAATTAATTCCTCAATTATTGCTGCACTTTCAAAGATGTACACTTGTCAGATTGCAAGTTTGCATCCTGTGCTTTTCATTCGTGATGATGCCTTTTCTTAATTTTGTGACGTTTTCTTTAATTTGCTGTAGTTCTTTCTTTTTCCCCCCTTAACCCTCATCTGGTTTTAATTATGAATAATTTATGAAAATACAAATAAGTCATTATCAAGAACTCAATTTAGATAACAGAAACTCTTGGTCAACTTTTATATTATTATTTTACCAGTGCAAATTAATATTGAGGCGTCATTTACCTGTCTTTATTTGGCCGTTATTAAACTGATAAAAAAAGTGAAACTAAATTGACGATTGTTCAAGACAATCATATAAACATTCTGGGTTTTTGTTCTTTAACCAATTTGGTCGGGACTTATTTGACAATCGTTCAATACATCCGTCAAGTTTTATGACTAAATGATATAATAACTATAGGAACTTACTTTAATATTTAACATTAAACATCTTTATTATCTTCCATTTGACTGTTGTAATTGTCAATTGATAACACTTGAAGAACAAACCATTAGTCGCTTTAGGTCTACTTCAAAAATTAACCAAATTGATGCAGCACAGTGCACGATCTGGGTCGTATTCATTTCAGGGAGCCTCTAAAAAGATCCTAAATAACTAAGTATGGAAAAGATAAAGAATTGATTTGGAAAGGGATTGATTTTCTTTTTAACTAACTAACTAGCAAAATTTAAAAGGAT